AAAATCAATGCCTATAGCTTGCTCCTCTCATCAAACCTTCTTTATTGTTTGGACCGGCCGGTTCACCGGTTCAACCGGTTGAACCGGTCAAACCGGGAACCGGACCTGAAAACGGTTCAATAACCGGTCCGGTTTTGAAAACATTGCGCGATTGTAAGAGAGCGTGGAGAGTACAGATGTAGCATGAGGCTGACGCAGAGACTGAGCCGTACACGTGCGAGTTGTTTAAGCGTGCGGGGAAGCGTGCTATTATTTGTGTTTGTATCTTAAAAGAGGCCTGAGTGGTCCTTTTTCAGGGTTTCTAGTGGTAACCTTTTTGCCAAGGAATGGATTACCACCCGCGTTTTTAGCACAAGAAAACGCGTGAGAAACAATTGCATCTGTCCCCCATGACTTCCAATACTTCTTTGGAATGGTTCTGATCAAAATTTTGACTTAAAAGCTGATGATCATGGTCGTTGTTTAAACCCAAACTCACGCCTGGTGTCCCTAAAATTTGCAGATTTTTGGCATGATTTTTGGGACCCAAATTTCAAATACTGATTTGAAAATTTTAGCCAATGAAGCCTTGTGGTTAAGGATTTAGAGGCTGAGCCGCTGAGGCGCCACAATTTGATTTGAGTTCCCATGGTTGTGGGTTTTCTTTCAAGTTTTTCCTTAGTTTCGTTTTTGTGGCACATCGGTGGATTAGTTGCTTGGTAACATAAAGATTTAAATCTCTGATCTTAACCTTAATCTTAACCGTAAATCAAGGTTTTAAGTTGATGGGTACCAATTCAACCAAACTCTTATTGGTTTTTTTTTTTTGAGAAAGAAATAAAATAGAAAGAAGAGCAAAATGAAATTTCATGTCCGGACTGGCTTGAAATACAGCCTGTCCAGACTGAAAACCATTTTTCTCTTAAAGTATACTATTTTCTTTTTCTTTTTCTTTTTTATCTTTGCTCTGCATAATGTGTACAGGTAGAGCACGGGCATTTATAATAACAAATAATGGAGCATGGTCAGATTGATATCAATGAACTAGTTAATGTCTTGATTGCAGCATCAAGATTCAAGGATAGATTTAAATCTTTATAATAACCAAAAATGTAAAGAAAATGAAGAAGTTTGATGTGCCTATCCTTGCTCCATCTTTTTAATTTTTCACTATTACCATGGCTATATGTAAAAGCATTCTTTAATCCTGGTGCAGACTTTTCAAAGCCAAGCAATATCAGGAACAGTGCCTGCTGCACCACAACCGCCTGTAATCCGCCCAAGGGTGCGGGCAAGGCGAGGGCAAGCCACAGATCCTCACAGCATTGCCGAAAGGGTAAACTTACCTGTTTTGATTCTGTTTTCTGTAGATATTCTCTGTATGCGTATGAGTCTTCATCTCTAATCGCTTTTCTCTGTGATGGCAGTTACGTAGAGAAAGAATCGCGGAACGAATGAAAGCTTTACAGGAGTTGGTTCCTAGCTGCAACAAGGTAAGTCTCTCCTTGGCACCATTCGTCAGTGTTGTTAGCTGAAAAATTTTTCTGTTCCATTCCATTAATTTAAACAATCCAACCTATTTGATGCTTCTTCCATGCATTTTAATTTTATATAAACTGACAATGAAATGGCTGTGTCCCATTCAAATGTTTTTTGAGCAGAACCCTCATTGTTTGTTCTTATCGGCACCAACCAAAGGCCAAACCTCTAATTTCAATAGTCAAGTGCTTTTCTTATGATTTATGAGGTTCCACTTTGCAAGTAGAACAACAGTCTAGGGTAATTACTTAACAGATCGGTTTGCAGGGGTTTAAGACAAGCTTTTGATTACTATTTTATTATAATTTTTGCTTATTTGGTGAAAACTGATAACTGACAAGGATAGTAGTACCAATACCATTTTTTTTTTTCTTTTTGAAAGGATATAGGCTCATTCTCTTGCAAACTAATCAAACTTATGTATTTTGATGCATATGAATTGACGATTTTTTGCAGACGGATAGGGCAGCCATGCTGGATGAAATTGTAGATTATGTGAAGTTTCTAAGGCTTCAGGTCAAGGTATGAACTATGAAGATTCACTGTATCTTACAACATTATTTTGTTGTTAAATTTCTTCCTGGATAAGCTCAGAGCCATTAATTACTTCAAAATTGTATATTTTTTCCAAGGACTATTTTATGAGCAGTCCGTTCTTGGTATTTTCCTAAAGCATTTTCAAACCCGTTATTCAAAAGTTAGAAAGTCATTAAAATTAGTTGGTCCATAATGCCATAGAAATTCTGTAGCAATTCCCTTTATCATGGTAGGCCCGACTCTGTTGAATCCTTGACATCTATGAAGACCCTAAAGGCATTCCTTTACATGAATTAGTTACGCTGTCTAGATTGAATTGACTCCTGTCTGGTCATGTCATGTTGGCATCTCTAGGGGGCAAAGAAATTGTTGAATAGTAACTTGTTCGTGAACTGCATTGTCATCACTACTTTATTTATTTCATATTAATTTTAATTCAAAAATTAATTTATTACATGATGTTTTGGTGTTATTGTACACTTAAACAGGTCTTAAGCATGAGCAGACTAGGTGCAGCAGGCGCAGTGGCTCAGCTTGTTGCTGATGTTCCTCTATCTTCTGTTGAGGTAGTAAATTTAGAAAACTCACTTGGAAAATTTCTTTCTGATTTTAAAGCACCATTCAGTCCCATTCGTGTCAATGAAGAACATGCACTGTGCAGTCCCGTGTTTGCATTTTTGCATTTTTTCTTCATACTGATTTACTTATGATCTTACTTCGATTAAGGGAGACGGCATTGAAGGTGGAAGCAATCAACTGGCTTGGGAGAAATGGTCAAATGATGGCACTGAACAGCAAGTGGCTAAGCTGATGGAAGAAGACGTTGGAGCTGCCATGCAGTTCCTTCAGTCCAAGGCTCTTTGCATCATGCCAATATCCCTAGCCTCTGCAATCTTCCGGACACACCCACCAGATCCACCTGCAATAGTCAAACCCGAATCAAATACATCTTCATGAAGCTGAACAAGATTACACATTTGCACAACCCGGACAATGAAGTCTATCATTCTTCAGTCCATCTTTTAATCCATTAAAATCTCAATCAAGTAGGTGCAACCATCATATTCTCCATTCGTCCTGTTTTTGTCCTAAAAAGAAAGTAGCGGGTTTCGTGTCTCATAAGAAGACTTGGAAGGTGCTTGTCGTTACTCCGTGGTCCAGTTGAGGGAGGAAATGTTTTCAAAGCTCCAAAGATGCATTTTTCTTCAAATATCAATGGTGGGGTTATAGTAGTGGATGAACAAAACAATACCAGTGGTGGGAACTCGCTTTCTTACTTTTCTGGATGGTGGAAATGTGGGACCTTGTAAAAGGGGAATGGATGGGTATAGTGTATTGTATGATGTATTTGCAGAAAATTTCAAATGCAAGTTGGTTAGTTTGATAATGGACAATTGTTTTTATATAATATAAAGTCCTTTTGGAAACTTCTGGTCTTCGACAAATTGACAAAAGGAAGAGGGAGAAAATTTTGTTTCTGGGGGTGAATTTGTCATTTCTGCAAAAGTGAATTTAGCTACTTTTTCAGTTTTCAAAATGACGTCTTTTGGGATAAAAATTATTTATAAGGGTGAGTTTGTTGTTTCTGCAAAAGTCACTTGGTGCTGAGATTTTTTTATTAGGGTTTGTTTGTTGTTTCTTCAAAAGTTGATTGTGCTCTAGTTGAAATGCTGAATGGCTATTTGATGAGTTATTGGAGAGAGAAGAGAGTGGGGGAGGGAAAGGTAACTCTTTTTTATGTATCATCTACCAAAACGGGGTAAAGCTTTTCTTTTCGTACAGAAAAGGGACAAAACTAGTGACCCTTTTCTTCTTTCCTTTGGGACAACGTAAAGGCGGCAAGACAAACGTATGGGAGAAGGTATGTCTTTTGGACGAGTATAACAAGGTTCTAGCTGCATGATTCATGCATGAATAGCGGGGTCAATAATGATCATCACAAAGGATTAGATGAATTATGCCTTAGTTTAGTGGTAAATGGGCATGCTAAGGCTTTAAAAGGTCTTTCCAACCCTCGTTGCAAATGTGTAAATAGTTGAAAATCAAAATATAGAGTCAATAATTCTCCCTAACAAGGTCTTGATCTAATTGTAACCTAGTTGAGCCGATCTTTTTGTTGTGTTGACAAACCTTTGAAATAGGTACCATATAATATGATAAATTTAATTCACTGGATTGGTTTAAGTAATAAAAATAGATTCACCTAAAAATGCATGTTTGTGTTATTTTATTATTATTATTATTTTGGTATTAATCTTCCGATATCAAGTAATCACATTGGGTTTCAATTAATTCGGAATTGAGTTGCATCAGACTCAATTTGGGAGAAAATTCTGTCAGTGTCTGTTTCTCCATTCACAAGACTCGAATGCGAGATTTTACTTAAAGAACCGAACTTTTTTCATTCGGACTAACAAGTTATTGGTGTTTGTGTTACTTTATTGTCGTTAATGAACCATGCTCATCACCCTTAAAGATGGACCTCTTTTTTTTTTTTTTTTTTGAACTCCTTATTTTTGAATATCCTTGATCACAAAATATTTTATTTAAAAAAAATAATTACTACACCTTAAGGTTTGATACTTTTTTTTACACATGTTTGTTTAACCATTAAAGTATAATATAAATTATAGCTAATTCAATTGGTTCTAGGATCATGTATACATAGTTGTATTTTTAAAATTTTTTGATTTTTAATTTCAAATAAAAAATAATTTTTAATAAGTATATTGTGTTGATGTATTGAATTAAAAGTATATCACTCAATGTCTTATTTAACATGTTTATTTCTTATTTCTTAGATAAGAATACTTCAAAATTGTTATGACAATAAATTTTTAATCATTTAGTAAATTGGGAACTAGTTGCTTAGCAATAGAGATTAGAACATCTTATCTTAACCTCTAAATTAAAGTTTTTAAGTTAATGGATGCTAATTGGCTAAGCTATTTTGATCCCCTTCAAAGTAAATTGACTTTCTTTTTTTTAACAATAATGTTATAGTTACCATATCACATATGATTAGAAGCATATAATCATGACATGATATTAAATTAGAGTGATGTGTTATTAAATGAATGAATACATATAATATCACCAACGAAGTCTAAGTGAAAAGAGTTAATTATACAATAATACATCATATTATAAATTTACAATATTACATGGCATTGTAACAATATTATTTTCTCCTTTTTTTAATGAAAAAAAAATGTTCTAGTAATATTAAAAATGTCATGATATCCAATTAAAATTACTAAACAAATGAGACATCACAACAACTTAAATAGTTTCTAGGTAATCTCTTTCTTACGAAAGAAAGAAGTCTTAAGTTCAAATCATGTAATATAAAGGTGAGATGAATGCCTCTCGTTATACAAACTAAAATAAAAAACAAAAAAGGGGGATGAATACTTCTCATTATACAAACTAAAATAAAAAACTTCCAAGTTTAAAACCTTTACCTTAATACTAGGTTATCATTGGTAGCTATCATATCTTGTTGGCTTTTTATTA